CCTTCTATAACTCTTTATATTAATATTTTTAATTTTTATATATTTATATTTAATATATATTGGATGTTTCCTAATTATTGATAAATTTATTTACAAATTTCCAATACATTAATTAAGATCTTAAAATGATGCCAATTGAGCATCAAATCACTAAACCGCTAATTAATTTAATTTGTGATATTACTACTGGTAGTTCAATTGCGTTTCTAAGTCCAGAAAATTAATTCGGCGCATAATTTGAGAGATTACAAACGTGGTATATAAATTCACATGAAATTATTTAAAATATTCAAGATCCAGCTTCAATCGATACAAGTATATTTAAATTTATTTATCATAATCGCCTAAAGTTCGCGCATTTAATTGAAGTTGATATTTTGTTCCATATATAACTCAAAATCATACTTAATCATACTTAAACACACGAAATTTAGACAATATGATTCGCTAACTTTAAATGCTTATGATTAAAAAAACTATTAAACCTCGACATTTTGGTATTAGATCTTCGTTTCAAAATGATTTCAGAAATTTTCCAGCAAGTGGTGTGATAGATTTAAGACGCCCAGTATAATATCAATTTCTTATTCAATTTCTTATTCAAAGAATCTTAAGTCTCAAATGCATAGACAGTTTTAAAAATGTAAAAATGGCAGACTTTCATTCTTGTAATTAAATATTTTATTTATGAACTAATAGATAAAAATATACTTCTAGTCCTTCAGCTATGGCAGCTTATTCATGTTACTGTTGAAGTGATAATTGTGTAGTAAGCTATTATTTAGATGTAGTTATGGTCAGCTGATTTTTTTCATTGACTTTGATGCTCGATCTTTTGATTTAATATTGTTTTTGTTCCCCTATAGGGAAATAAATATTTAAATAATATATTTTATGTCGAGTCGTTCAGATTCTTATAACAATGAATGAATTTACAAAAGTTATACTATACAGTATATGGTAATACGAAAAGCAGTGCATAATAGACCTTTAAACTTATATTGAAGTTACTTTAAGATTTATCTTTTAAAACTTTAATGTGCCTCTAGATGAAAATTCTATGATGGTGTAGAGGATCATCGTTTTAACATCCCTACAAACTGCACAGTGTATGCAGATGCATGCACTGACGAAACTTCAGATTTTTAAAATAAAAAATTGATTTTTGAATTATATTTTCTAATTCTTAGATTTAGCAATTTTGAAGTATTTTATTTTTTAGTATTTCTTTGATTTTCAGTGAAAAAAGATTATCAAATTATACAAGTAATTAAATAATTAGAACAAAATCATTATTATAGTCGAATTATATTATTATAAAAGAATTATGTTATTCCCTTTAAGGTGAATTTTGATTATTTTTCTATGCCATCATATTTAACAACCTAAAAAACGTAAGATCACATATATAACTTACGTTACATTTCTTAGGTAAAAATCGGCCCACCATCCTTTGTCACTGGCGTACTGTCGGCCATGCAGGGCATCCTTTAATGGTTAAAACAAAATAAATGAAAGTCGAAAGCAGTAAGGACAATACCTATAAGCTGGATGTGGGAAAAATTCAAATTTCGGTTGTCAAAGATCCATATTCAGAACGTGTTTATAATGATATTAACGAGATGTTCTGCAGTATATTATTATATTTTATATATATATTTATATATGACGTAGATTATAGGTATGGTGAACGCGATGTTACAAACGCTTTGTAGCGAGACTTTGACCACAGCCTATTACTAAGTAAGAATGATTAAGAATTTTACAGTTTTACAAGATATTTTATTTTTTATTTCAAAATATGCGAAAATAAAAGCTGAAATATCTCTTAAACTCTATCATTTCTTAAATAATTTTACTTTAATACTTATGTGTATACATAGAATAACTAGAAGAATTATCAACAATACCTATAACGAAGGTTATAAGTCGAAGTTGGAGCTTAACTCATAGGAAAAAAAACGTTACAACACAATAATCATGGTCATGGCATGGTGACGTGCAATGTCCGCTTTATCACAAATGTGATGTCACAGCAATGCCATGGTGATGTACAAATGTCTTTGTAACATGTGTTATGACAATCTCACAATGACATCATATTTTTTCTTTCTGACTATTGTGACTCTATTGTGACATAAATGTGACTCTTTGCTATAAGGGAAGTGTTTAAATATTTTCATGTGAATTTATACACTATATATATAGTCATTTGAACTCCGCGCCGAATTGATTTTTCGGAAATTAGCCACTGCAGTAATATCACAAACTAATTGATAAGTAATTAAAAAAAAATTTGATACTTGATTGGCATCATTTTGAGAATATTTCGATGTACTGAAAATCTATAAATAAATTTATTGCGAAGAATATTACCTCGGTTAGAAATCGAATTCGGATCTCTAGCATTTTGTGCGAGCATCCTAAGCTTTTAAATCACCGAGAATAATTAGTAATATTCTTCACAATAATCGATATGGTAGGAACATGTAAATTTTTCAAGTAGCGTGTGTAAATAATTTATTAAGACTATATGATGTGAATACACAAGAAGTGGGAGAAAGATAATGCTTATCGAAGTTGGATTCAAATCCCTATCGAGGTAATATTTTTTGCAATAAATTTATTTATACATTTTCAGTACATTAAGGTCTTTTTAAAATGATGTCAGTCGAGTATTAAATTTTAAATTGCTTGTCAATTTAATTTGTGATATTATTACAGTGGTCCAATTACGTTTTCAAATCCGAAAAATCAATTCGGCGCGTAGTTCAAATGACTACATATATGTATTATATAAATTTACATAAAAATATTTAAGCACTTAAAATTCAGCTTCAACGTTATAGGCATTATCCTTCATTTGTTGTATATTCATATTATATGGTCTCAATAAAAAGTTTATTATTGTAGAAGAATTATATTATATAAGAGGAATCTTTCATATAATTTTATTAAAAAATATGATGACGAAACCTTAAAAAATCAATTTTTTTGAAAATTGATTTAATCATTATTCGTCTTTCTACCAGCCTTACAATTCTCGTCTAAAATTTTTTAGGTATGCTTTCTTTCCGGCATAATATGTCTAATAAGATTAAAATTAATCTTGTTCATCAGAAACTCAATAACGATAGTTCATGTCGAGTAGCAAAGAAACGCTTTTTTTATATTTTTCTTCGTTTTCGTTTAATAAAATACGTTATCAGAATGCAAAAATAAGAAGACGTAATATATTTTGAATTTGATTTTCATAGTAGAATTCAATAGAATTCAAAAACTTACTTTAATGTAGGGATAAAGATTGAAGTGTTTCGCATAACTCATAAGGTATTTTTTTATTAAGCTGTGGTGAATGAAAGACGGGCCACCCAGATCTTGAAAGGGAAAGTCAGGTATCGCCATTACTTCCTTCGGTATATTTGTTCTGCAAGAAAAATGGAAATAATTCGTTCTCTCAGTATTTAGGTGATCATGCGCACGACTTTTATTAATTTTATCCGCGGAGTTCAAAAGGTACAGTGACTTATAACCCAAGACTGCAATAAACAAAGTTGCTAGTTATTAGCAATTTAACTGAAATAAGCTCTAGTCTATTTTGAATTTACTTAATAGACGTAATTGGAAAGATATTTTTCCATCTTGTGATTAAGCATGTTTATATTATGACGAAAAGAACATGGAAAGAACACAGCTGAAAACTTCATTGATTCAACAAATCTACAATCACGTTATATATAGATAGTCAATTTTCTATGTTAAAATAGCAAAGTTGACAGCTGAATAACATTAGCGATTTGTTAAACCATCAAATCTTCTTAGTTATCGATGTTGAAGTCGCGTAGTAAAGTATAGATTTGCTATCACCCAATTAATTTTTTTTCCGTGAAATATTTCTAACTCTCTATTTTTTACTAATATTATTCGATGTGTTGTTTAGCTAAAATTAAGTTGGCTATCGAAGGCTTGAATAAGAGTGACTTGATAATTTTCAGAACCATAGAATCACATTAATATATGAGAGGTACAGATGAAATAGATAAGAAAATTATATTATTCGAACACAAATAGGGAATCATTTATCATCATTGTTTACTTCGATCGGTTTCGTCCAAAAATCTATATCTTCGCAAGAGTCCTTGTGTCTTTCACATTATCACGCAATTTTCAATCTACATTGCAGATCGCTTCGTTATTTGATTTATTGTTGACATATGTGCTTCCTCTCCGGAATTCAGAAAATTGATCTTCTCATTAATGTGTCATAAAGTGTATCGCGTGTCAAACAAAGTTTATCATCATTACTGCATTAGACCGGGTGTTTCTCATATACATGTATGCAAGGACGCTGTACTTATTGTTTTTTAATTGTAGAAGACGCTTATTCGTTACGTACTTTTATTCCAAACTTGTTGCAAATTAATTTCTGTTTTAGAATCGAACTTATGATCTGCCGTCTCACGTCAATAGTCTTTCATTTTTATCGAAATGTAATCGCCGTGTGTCACAGGAATTCCAACTTCTATTAAGAATATAATTGAGATTGCACAATCAGTTATTCTATTATGCATTATAAAGAATGACAAAATAAAAATGTATCTACGCAGACGCATCACACATACGCACTTATCTGTGATGACATTGCTATCAAATCTCAGTTAATTAGAAAAAAACCTATTTAGATCTAATTGAAAGATCTAATAGAAAGATCTAAAATTATGTTTGGCTGATAATGCCCGATTTCTTCATCTCTAGATAATTTTATTCAGGAGATATCTTCCTCATTAAAATGGAGATATCTCCTGGATAAAGTTGTCAGCAACTTATCTGGAAGTGAAAAAATTGGGCAGATAATTGCAAGATAGCAGTGATACAGATTTATCGAACAAGACCGAAAAAAAGAGAAAGAAATTGTGTACTAAATGAGAGATCCTAGATAACATGCATGTTGCATAAAAGACAGCTTTTAGATATCTTATGCGACATAAATGTTATTTGTGATCTTATAATCAATAATAGCAAATGTATATATAAAGTTCCACAACTCCCATCCTTTTAAGAACGGATTCTTTGAAACATTTTAAGACGAAAATCGTAATACGAAAATGTCAAGGCTATAATAGTTTTTAAATTAATAATGATTAAAATTTACTATAATCATGGAGCTGATATTTTGTGTAGACATGATGATATCATTATACAAAATTGACAAAATTGACAAATGATGAAGACGCTTTAGGATCCTCTCAGTTCAAGATTATCATATAAAGAGTGCGTTCCGCGGAGTTACGCATAAAGCGCATGATGTATCATTTGTCTTTGTTCTAAATAATAAAGAAGGACGATACTTTTCACGCGCTTCGTGCATAAATTGGAATGTATCCAAAGATGCAATGACATTTTTATTAAGAAATTATTGTTACTTTTATACGGAAACTATTTGTACATTACGTACACATAATTAATATTGGATCATATAACAAAATATCAATTTAATAGCGAGATACGACTCGTTTCGAAATAAATTCATAACCATGTTCGTGTAATAAACAGTTTTGTAATATCTAGATAAATTAAATGTGAAAAAAATTAAATATATTGATAAAGTAAGACTGAAACATATTAAATATTTATTTAATCTCAATATACAAATATCAAATAAATATCACATATTTTTCAATAATTATTGTAGTTGAAATTGAAAAAAGACAAGAATATAAAAATTGATATAAATTACATCGATATATATCGTTATAAAAATCGTTATTAAAATTTATAGAGAGTATAAATCGATTCATTCTTACTAATAATTAAAATATATAAAGTTCCCGGGAAAAAATATTTTATATAATTATATATTGATTGTAAGCAGTGGATTAATTAAATACTTTTAAATACACTTTTATAGTTTGTGCTTGCTATCTTCCGTTTTAATGTTTAAAGGTCATTGTTGGAAGATCATGTATACTTTTGAATAAGGGACACAGTATGACATAGTGATTATGTCATCTTTGTTTAACATTGGCTGGTGACTCAACAGTTGAGTGAGTGGCTGCTATTGTATGTATTCTTTGAAATCATACAATCAGCATTTTAGATCTCAAAGAATATATCACTATTTAATATATCACACCGTGTTATTTGTTACTGTTGGAAGGCACATTATAATGAGTATTTTATACACTTGTTTCAGAGCAAATAAAATCAAGAAATATATATTTTGATATTATTCATTCTTATAGTTTTGTCACTTAAGAATTAGTCAATATTTTTATTTTTTTAAACGAAGCGTTTGTGAGCAACTTTCGGAGGAAAATTTTGCTTGTTTTAAGATCTTAAGTTCATATTTTAAGTTTGGCGGTTTAACCCGGCAACATCCTGTATATATACACGGCCAGTCTCGCGCTTCGATATCATTGTGCTTTTGACACGAAACACTATCATATCTCCTGATAAAAAGTTATGTAATGCTTTCTATTTACTCAGTTACTGACAATCTCACCTGAGATTCTTGTACATGCTGCTGTGAATCAAAAGTCCATGTTTGTCAATATCTGTTTCATCAGTATATACCCAGGTGCCACCGATATGATCGGTTTGCTCAAAAAGGACGAGATTATAAGAATTTAATTTGGCCACTACATGACGAGCTATCACCAGACCAGCCACTCCACCACCCACAACAGCGATTCTTGTTTTACTACTCGGCATAATTTTTCAATAAAAAGTCTAAAAAAGATATACGTATATTAGCCGTATTTTAAAAACTTAAAAAAAGGGATTCAGAAAAAAAGATAACTGGAATAAATATAAAAGGAGAATGTATCAGGGACTCGGACCGAAATTACATTCCGGAATAAAATTTCGGACCGGTTACAATTGATTCGAGACTACTTTCGATTTTGTCAGTTCCGAGTTCTGATCCTTTTAGTGTTGACCGTTGTAAGTATATGATTACTGAAACCGAAAAGAGTCAAAATCTAATTCCAAAGTAAAGGATTGATAAAAAAACTGAAACTAAAAATTTAACCTCGGACTATTATTCAGATCGAAATTTTTCAGTCCAAATCCCTGGAATGTACTTTGAGACTAAGGATAATGTTACATACGTTTCTTCTTTCCAGTGAAATTGAATAACACAATATATTTCTCAATTGATAAGCAACAAGTTTAATTTGATAATATTATCAACAATTTAGATTTAATTTCACTGATACTATTTAATGTCACTGTTATATTATTTTCGCTTGTCGATCGTAAAAATATGTAGATTATATTCTGCTAACAAAATTATCCGCGATTTGAGATACTGAAACGAAGAGAACAACGAATATGACATTTAACGTAATAAATATCAGAAATATTAACTTGATATTCCGATCTGATTCAGCCAAAGGCTCAAATAAGACTGATCAACGAAAGCAAGTCTACATATATTAGACTATTATCGTTAGCTGTCTGTTCGCTTTATACTAACGTTCTACATATGGAAAATATTTTCTCCGGTTTACGCCCCTTCTTTTTCTGATGAAATAGCTGTGGGCTTATGGCGTCAAATGGCGTGTTGATCAGTGTGACCGCAGGGTACTCGGGTGTGTGTGTGTGTGTGTGTGTGTGTATGTGTGTGTGTGTGTGTGTGTGTGTGTGTGTGTGAGAGAGAGAGAGAGAGAGAGAGTGGGAGGGGCCGATTAAACTCTCATTAATAAAAGCATAATTTCAAGCTGAGTTTGGGGTCATCTCAGTTTGCAGATTAATGCGACAAATAGAAAAAATGAATATCATCTTTATATAAATATATAATATTTCAGAGCTCACGACATTTAAATTAAATAAATTTGAGTTGTCATTCAAATCTGGGTCATTATTAAAGTCTAGACAGTCTTGATAAACCTCCTACTACTTTATACAATTTTATAATATTTGTTTTATCCTTTTTTTTTATTTATCCTTAAGACCTTTATGAATATTCGTTCTTATTTTACAAATATTTTATGACATTTGCAATTGGATTCTTGAGTCATCGAAACTCACGTACTTCAGTTCCTCTTACCTTCATCACATACGTTTTTGGTATTAGAATTTTTCGTATATATCACGTTATTGATTATTATTCAATGAAAACTCTACTTCTTTTATCATAGTAAAGACCCCTTTAATTTTGATCGAATCTACTCTCATTAGCCGTTCATAACACACGAACTTAGAACTTTAATCTGTCAACTTCAGTCAACTCTGTATCATATCGGTATTAAACAGTCTGGTCGGAAGACAGTGTTTGACCTTTTTGTATTATATATATTAC